CCAGTATTATTTGTGGACCTAGAATGTTCACTAATACAAGAGGAGCGAAAGTACGAGCTCTAAACAACGTAATTGAACTATTATTTGTTTTTGAATTTTCTTTCCCACGATTTTTGTTATTTACTTATTTGTTGCAAGTAATTTTGTCTGTGTTAACTTATTTTTTCGCTTTAATATAAAAATCAAATGAGAAATATAAGATAGTTAATTGTATTTAATTATTATTGTACTGCCCCTCTAAATATTAACGCGCTTATCGCAAAATTGATAAGAAAAGACAATATGACTTTACTGATCGTTCATTCGGGAAGATCTTTAACCTCTAGTAAAGTTTAATGAGATCAAAATGCCGTTTATCTTTAGCTTAAAAAATGTTGGCGCAGTTTTGAGATACGCGCAATTATTGACTGCGACGTGGAATTAAATCGAAGTGTTTTCGACAAGAAAATAATCTTATGCCGGCGTTCAAAGTAAAAATGCTGAGGCTGAAATAATACCAAAATATTTACTGGAATCAATCACCCAATATAAACCAAAATGGCAAGGGCAAGTTAGTGACCCGAAATGTTTCGGTTTATCTGGGATAATATTAAATTTACAACCACTAAAAAGGGGGTTGGCTAGGGTGCAGTTGCTTTTAAATCAAACACGGACAACGAAAATTCGTGGAAGGATGCAAATGGCCCAACCTCAAGCCTCTAAATTCTTTTGACTGGGATCACACACTTGATGATAAGGTTTTATTGCGCTGTATATCTCCCCTTCCTTAGCTGTCAATATATAAGTTGATATGACAGATATACTAAAATCGACTATAAGAAAATTCTTTTATGTAGATTCTCATTTTATATTACTGAAATGAGTCTACGAAGTGTGTCAAATTCATGTCATTTTAACATCGAATAAAATAAATACAAAACTGTGATTTTATCAATTTTTTGATACTACAGGATAGCATTGCCATTTGTTTATAGTGCAAAGAAAAATGTTTGAAATTTTTTAGTCAACTCTCTTGTTTTTATTGATATTTTGGGATTAAAACGTAGTTAATAAAAAAATCCAGAATAGTCACATATTTTCATCCAAGAAAGGAACAGAATAAACTAAAAGTTTTTCAAACTCTGCCTAATTTTATAGTATCTAAAAAAATACAAAGCAAATAAATAGCCATATAAAGGTTGTATCAAAATCAATGTTTTCAAAAGCTGAATATGAAATATATCTATTTGTGATTAAGATAATTGTCTTTATTGGTGAAAAACAATAAACACAGAATTAAATGAGAAACACAGAATATAAATGTAAATAGTAGAAAAAAATAACAAAAAGGAAAAATGATGAAAACTGAATGATTTTATGTACTTATAAATTTGTTACAGCGATTTTTAACAGAAATTTTTATATTTTTATTAAAATTTTAAGCAAATAATTTAGCTAAGATTATTTTGTAGCTGAAATCAAAAAGAAAAGAAAATCAATCAAAATTGTAAACACAACTGTATCTCGCCAAGGTTGCACCGTAGGGCCTAGGAATTTTTTATGTTATTTTTTACTCTTGGCTTTACGTCCCTTTTAAATAATTTTTACCAAAACCAACTGTGTTAACTCATTCATTTTTCCGTTAACCAAAATTAAAAATTGATCGTTACAAATTACCGGCTTATTGTTCTTAGCGTTTAATTTGTTTGCATTAAAACCTTCCTTAAAAGTTTGTGTTGTGTTAACGGGAACCCGGTAGAGAAAATTAACATCCGAGTTGAATATTGAGTTCATTAATCTCGAAAAAGTTTATTATATTGTCTGGCATCGCGGGCAAACTCCAAACAACGTATTTATTTTTGGATTTATGATTAATTGGCGGTACATTTATTTCGGGATTAAATCGCGCTTAATTTTTTTTTGTCTGGTTTGAAATATTACGTGGTTAATCGGGGCGAGCGGTGAGCTTACAGCGTAATGTTATTTTTTAATCGCGCTCTAAGTAAATTTGATTTTGTTTTCTATAAGATAAAAAAGATTCATGCCCGACTGCTGACACTTTTTTTATATTTAGTAGTGAAAACAATTCTATTCAAAATTCGTACTGCCACAAACACTCCAAATGTTCAAACAACAGTATTCGCTTTTTGTAATAAATTTTGAATAAATGATTAGCGATTATTTCGTAGATAAAAGTTAATTAATTTAAGAAAACAATATTCTTGTAGCAAAAAGTTTGTAGTTTGTTAACCGATAATAATTTGCATAAAAGTTTTCATCTTCATCTTCTTTCTCAATCAACCCTACATCAGACCAGATGTGCTTGGATAATCTTTCAGAAAAACTTGTTAATTGTGATCAGAGTAGGACCACACCACCTACAGAAAAGCGCTTGTTCTGTAGGACCAAAATAATATAATATAGTGACAAAGAAAACATTATATCTCGGCGAATGAATCACCCTGGTAAGGTGTATGAAGTTATCTATTGCTATATGTAAACTTGATAAGCTTTAATCAAAATGAGATAAGGAAATATTGTGGTAAATACATGTGGATTGCATTATTTCCATTTTGCATTGTTTAGTGCATAATGTTAAAAGAACAAACATATTGGATTTCGGTATACAGAAAAAAAATAGTTATTCAACTAACTACAAAGTAATTAAGAAATACATAAAACCAACTGGAAAAAAACACAGCAGTACCTGCCCTTATTATTTACATTGAAACCATGATCCTATGAAATTTAAAGCTTTTTATTATACTTACCTTTTTTGAAGCAGTTGTTTTTTTAATGATCAAAAATTAATTAATACAAAAACTATCACGTTTTCCTTAAACGCAAGTAATTTGTATAGCTCACTTACCATTTTTTTAATGTGATTTTTGACAAAATTGCTAAAATTTTGATAAACATCTAATGTTCAGGGAAATTTTATAATTGCATAGCACATTGAATGAAAATTCCAAGTCAAGACTGAATGTTTCAGCTTTTGTGCATATATTGTATTACATAATAATAATAATAATAATAATAGTAATATGACTACTATGATGTAATATTGTAAATATATTACAAGAACATACCACAAAAGGCCTAAGTTAAAGTTATACTTTCTCACTTAACAAAACAGTTCAAAAGAAGGGAAAAAAGCGAAAGTAAAACCAAAAAAAAGTAGCCCATGTCAAACTAGTTATCTATTATTATTTCAGTTCAACTGCTCAGCCGTTTACGAGCAACTTTTTTGAATATAGGAGGTAAAATTTTAGGACTAACAGGTCTCCTGTTATAATTTAAATAAACCTGTTTCGAAAATAAGCAAAAAAGCAAATAAGGGTACTAACTTAATTGTGATGCAGCAGTGGAAGAGGGGTTGGGGGGGTAAATGGAGGATTGAAAAGTTGTTTTTTTTTAATTTCGCATTTCGGATAAAAAAAAACAGGTTTTTCATACTGTCTGAAATTTCCAATAATTTCGTGGCGCTTAACAAATGTAAATGATTTTCGTTGTTTTGAAAACGTTGAAGAAATGATGAATTGATGAATTGAATAAATTATAAAAATGTTTGTTGGGATTTGACGTAAAGTGACGCTTTTATACCAACAAAAACTTAATAATAGGCGCAGTTTTTCTTTTTTAAACATTATTGAACCGCTACAAACGTAAAATAACTGAAATAACAACTGGCAATGGTGACAAACCCGACACGTAAGTATTGTACAGGATCCATGTTTACTAAAACATGCGAACTTTGTGCATTTAAAGCGACAATTTCACAGCGTTCGCTTTCTGAACATGGTTCAGTAATTTTGCGCGTTCGACCCAGAAAAACACGTTTTAAAACTGACGAGCGAAAGGCGTTGCTATTCCACGAGGCGTTTGTCGTCAAATTAAATCTGGCAACGTTTAACACTGTTCCTTCGAACACAACAAATTGTGTTTTTAGTGTTTTAATGACGTACTTATTTACTTATTTGAAAGATTTTCTTCAAATCTTTGCTAGTTTTTCATTTTTTTTATTTCATGTATTCATTCCTTGTAAGAGACTTTGTATTTTTATGACCGTTTTGTAGTACCTACATGGTACGTGGTATATGCGCTCAGTCTCCTTTTATCCGCTCTCCCTACGTTTTTGCAGAGGTTGTTTAAATTGTTTCAATTTATTCTACATGGTGATGCATCCACTCAATTTTCTTGTACATCTCAACAGGACCACAATTTTTAAAACAAATTGTTTTTAATTGTTTGGGTGATTTTTGATTTATTTTTCAATTTTAATAATTTTAATCTTCTATATATGTTGCAATTATAATATAATTTGCATTTTTAATACTTAAATTTTATAATTTACTCTGGCGTTTATTGAGTAAAAAAATTGATACAAACTTATGTCTAGATTATTTTGCAATAAAAAATGAAAATCTTAAGACTCAAACATAATTTTGTGAGACCGCGTTCGATAGGTATAAGGTGCACAATTATGCACACCGAAAAAGGAACAATTTTGCTTTTAAGTGTTAAACTCAGCAACTTTCTGCCAGACAAGGAACACTTTAACCTTGGCGAGTTAATATTCCGTCTAAATATAATTCTAAAAAACTCTGGCGGGATTAATTAATTACAACAAACTTGCTATTGACGTTTAACTTCTAAACGATAATCGTTAACATTTACGTTGAGGGTTGCAAACGAGCGACATTTGTAACTTATATCCGTGTAGTAAACATAAATAAAACATTTTTTCTTTGAGAATTTTATAACTTAAATAACAAAGGGTTTTGTTTAACGACACCAAGCCGAACGGCTGTAAAAGCTTTGTTTGTGTTAGAGATAAAAGGTGTTAAAGTTCGTAGCCTGCAGGCGTTTGACAAGATTATGGCCTTATATTCAGGTAGTATGACTTTTGAAGAGTTGTTGCTGTGCGAAAAGATTCTTGCCATTTTGTAAATATTTTATAAATAGTTGCTACCCAGTAGTTAGAAGTATGCAGTACATTTAATTATTTTATTTTCTTTCAGGTTTAGAATGCTGCCGATCAAAGAAATCAGCGTTATTTTTAGTTGGTAAGTATGCTGATTAAATATTAAGAATAAAAATAATTTTAATCCTCTAAGACAAACACAAGACTGAATAGTCAGGATATATTATCATAATAATCTATCCAGTCCGGTTGGTTCTTGCGTTGATTGGTGTTGATATACATTTTATAGTTTTATAGTTCTTTACATGAAAATTGGTAAGAAAGCATACACTAATTAGCGACTTTACAATTCAATGAAACGTCTTAGGAAGTTAAAGTTCGAATGGAGGCATTGTTTTCTTATTATGAGTATCATGTTTGGGTTGTATGATTTCTGGTGATATTGCTTAAGAAATAGTTTGGTATCGTTCGCGATTCAGTGCCTTGCCTTGGATGCACCCAAATCTTTACGATTTAAGAGAATCTTTACCGGTTGCAAATCGAAATGGTGGAAGTCAATCGAGAAATATTTAATAACAATTATTCAACCAGTCTTTACAACTGCGAGCAACGAGATTTATGGATAGATTGTCCTTCGCTAATATTTAAGTGACCTTTAATTTCGCTAGTATTGATTGAATGCGCAATGCAGAAACATCCTTTGAGTTATCGGTCTTAGCAATTCCGTTCCTTTTTTTTTATACTTGGTCCACATTAAAAAAATATATCGACCATATTCCTGCCGTTAAAAATAGAGCTTAACGAAAACTTGTATCATTTAACGGGAAACGAAAATTTGTCAACTTTTCTGCCAGTTGCTGCATATCCGGACGCGATCTACGGCAGATTATTTTTCCAATACTCGCAAAAAAAAAATCGCAATATTTTCGAGCAAAAAATGGAAACAATAAATTGCTTTTAAACGGTTTGGTAGACTAGCTTCGAGCCGACTGCTTAATTGGTATATACTAAATGTGTTTGTCGCCTTCATGAACTTAGTTGTTGCAGTTTGGAATTTTTGTCGGCATGCCAGCATGTTTAGCAACTTTTCTCAAGTGAAGTTATAGGAAATTCCATATATTTCGTCATCCAAAAATGTTCTGCCCCTACTAGTTGACATGCGCATTGAGTGTGTTTTACTAACATTTTGACAAATACATTGTTACGTACAGCTTTTTAATTAATAGGTGAAAACCATAATTCTAAGTATGTACTTAGACTTAGACTTGTATGATACGTATGATATGATGAAAGGGAGTCTGAAAGATAATTAATTCATTATCCGTTTTCTCCACTCCCTTTTATTGTTTTTTTTTATTATTTCTATGAACTTCATTAATTCCTTTGTATTAATTTTAGTATTTTCTGTAATTTGGTGCATACTTATTGAGAATGAGTATTATTGCTACTATTATGATTTCGCCTGATATATTTTTCACTCCCTCCCCCGGGAACTTAGATATTTGATATTACAGGAGTTGAGCTCTGTGGGGGCCATTGTTGTGTTATTGGGTCCTTGGTGACGGTCTTCTCTGGGTCCTATAAATATCCTGACTTCCTATAGTTCCTGTAGAGATGTTAGGTCTCCGAGGTATTTCAACAGTTTTTTGATGATTATCGAGATCTTGGTCCTTGCTGATCTTTTCAGTCGCTAGTTCATCGTGGTTTTGTTGATATGCTCCTCCATGATCTCGCTAAGATATCTGCCGTGCAGATGTTTTTATCTCCTGGCTTACCTTTACTCTCCCTGGGCTTAAATAGTCTACTTGGTAAATGATCCTAGGCAGCTGCGAGTCTGAGTTAACAGTGATTACAAGATACTTCTATCCAAAATTTACCTTATGTTTTTGCTCAATAGCTTTAATGTTTGTTTTTGACGCCACAACTCTATCTTTACATTTGAGGGAATTATTTACTAGCTAGCTAACGGACGTAACGACGTGGATGGCTCAAAGAAACGTCTAAAACCTCTTAAAGGCAAATAGACCGGGACGTTTACATTTTTCCCCCTTAAAGAAAACGAGGAAAGTTGCGAAGGTAAGCGCTTAAAGAATAGACGCGGAACTAAAAACCAAGAAAATGACTGATGAAAGTGACCCGGTTTTAAGTTCGTATACACACAAAGCCAGCGTTCTTTGAGGTTAACCGACTTGCAATTGAAAATAATTTTCCCAACAAAGAAGTATGCGATGATATTATTGAAATGGATAAATGCTAAAAATAAAATCTCTAATAATCATATCGCAAACTGTACCGTATAGGTCGTTGTAAGCTAGACAGGCACAACAAAATTATTTTTGTAGTTTATCACTGACAAATAAACATAAAAAATAAGCAAAGAAAAATCCCGAAAAAAAGTTAAAAGCACAGCAGAATGTGATTTACCACAGATACTCGGATAGTTTAGGAATTATCTCCTAACTGTTAATTTTGAAAATATAATTTTAAGCCCTATACTTAATAATTAATAATTAATAAATGCAAATTATTCCATCTCTGCTAAAACTTAAACTAAAACAAAATACTTGATCAACACATATGAAGGAACGAACAAGTGAAAAATATAAGTAACTGAATGATCTTTAATCATAAAATTAAGTAAAATTAAGAAGTGGTCAATTGTCAACTATAAATTCCACCGTTACAGGGTGGCACATTATTGTGAGTTTAATATCTCCCATATTTAGCACAGTCATTCAACTGAGCGATCGAAATGTCAGATAATTAATTTCAGCTTTTTCTTCACGTCGACTAGAATTTTCAAGTTTTTTTTAATTAAAATTTAAAAGTAACATTTGCACTAAAAAGTCCAATATCTGACAACCTTAACTTGACTCGTGCCTCCCTCATAAGTACACAGTCAAACTGAGGATTCTTTGGGTAAAAATATTTTGATCAAATTTAGTTTAGTCTAAATGTTGATAAAAACCAAGATACAGGGTCCAATTGAAAATTAATTTGCAATTTTTCTACTTAACTTTTGAAAAATTAGAACCACTATGTTGCTTGTCTTGTTACTGTATTTGTGCATTTATTTAAAACAAAAAAGCTTGTTTAAAAAAAATATTTTGCTAATCTAAAAGCTAAATGCAAAAACCTCCAAAAATTTGTTCTGAGCAACATTTATTTCATGTATATATGTATCCCATGTATATTTTTTGACTAAACTAAATATGCCCTAATCAAGGGATCTAAGTGTTACTACCGTAGCACACCCTGTACAATTCTCCATTGAACCTTAATAAGTTGCTAATTGATGATTATTGGGTTTTCCACCTTCTTGAGCAAGTGTTGTCAGTGCGTTCAATGCTGTCCGAAAATCCTCGCGCATACATTACCCTTGCCAATTCCCGAGAATATACAAGAATGTTAACCACTAAGCTAAAGATGAGCACAACGTAGACAGCGAATTTATTCGCCTTTGTTTACGACTTAGGAAGCCTTACAATCGGAGCGTTTTTACATTTCCTCTGACGTCACGGCGTAATTAATCGAGTCGAACGTCTCTTGGAGGCCCTCTAACGATGTGAAACATCTGTCGTGGCCATTCTCCAAAAAGAAGAACTTAATTATTTAAAGTGCTCGCATCGAAAACTTCCTTATTTTCGGCGTCCCGGTTTTCGCGTTCCGTCGCCCATCAGGGGCCCTGACTCGCAACTTTGACAAATTAAGTCGTTTACGGGAAACAAGTCGTTTATTTCGGCATGTAAGGAGAAGCCCGGGAACAAACTCGGAAACAAAGCGGAGGTAATAGTTCTTATGCAGCTTTAACAAAATTGAGGAAAATCTGTTTCGGCGGTTTGAATTTTAATGTTTGCCGCTTCCGGAGACGAATTTGAATTGAGACGAATAATGTTGATATTAGACAGAGAGAAAACGAGCGCCTGTTTTTCCACCTGGAATGGCAGTTGCGAGAGATGTTACATAATGAACCAATGAATAATATGGTAAAATGGCTTAACGCAGAACAAGGTTCATATCCGTATCGCATTCATTCATTCTATAAGATATAAACAGTAAACGGGAAACTGCGCTAGGATTGGCTTGATAAGTGACTGTCTATGTACAACTTGACATACTTAAATAAAACGAGGAATATGGTTAAAAACACTCATTAAATAATTAGTTCATGTAGCTATACCTAGTTTCTTAATGCTAAAAAGTAGTAAAATGTAAATTCGCAATGACAGGGATCATTAAACAGGGTGGACCACTTAAAGGTTACTTCCGAAAGTTCAGATAAATTCCAACTATACTTTTCCTTATTTCAACTTTTAAAACCTACCAACCTCGAATCGTTCCCAAATTAGGATCACATTAATTTGCATATAATAAAAAGACGAGTTTAGTGAATGAAAGTAATGTCACAGCGGAGTTACTACAGGTAGTTTAGTAGAATAATAAAAACTAACCAAAACTCACCAAAACTATAATAATAATTATAAGAGCATGATAATTATAGAGGTGGGCAAATAATTGAAATATTAATTATTCTGAGATTAAGTAAATAAAAACTTAAATAGAAGTAAGAATAGTATGAAAAAAGAAACTAATTTTTATACTGCATAAGTTTCGTCCAGATAATAAATATTCCTGTTTTCCCTTCGAAACTGTTAAGTAGTCTTCAGTCCAGTTCAATCCAAGGCAGGTATTTTTTTTAAGTAAAACCAGTGTACTATTCTTCTTCTTCAAGTAATTTCAAATGATAGACTGTGCAAAATACTTCATTCCAGACTTTGAAGACATGTCAATATCGAGTTGAAAAATCTTAAGGATAATAAATAATAAATACTTTATTTATTTAGCATAAAGCTAAAGACAGAAAACAATCGTATTTACAAAAGTACAAAAGTACACAGAACAAAAGTATATAACAGCATATAAAAGTATATAACAGTATATAAAAGAAAAATCAGAATAAAATTTCAGACAATACATAAGTTTAATTAATCTTTTAAAAGCATTTAAATTATTACACTCCTTAATATTTTTTGGCTGCCTATGAAACTCTAACAAACCTTTATTTAAAATGGTATTCAACATATGTGTAGTTTTACATCTATTGCATCTATTGACTAGGATGAAATCGTACAGTTTCTAGTG